GACAAAAATTAGCAAAAAAATTGCTAATTTTTTCATAAAAAGAAACTTTTCAGATTATGAAGTAATTATATATTTTATAGGTCGATTATAATAGAATGGCCTAAAGTATTACATGATAAATGCCATAGCAACGAAAATCATCTACTTGGTGTGGAGTTAGATTTTGCTCCCTTAATTCATCGAGCTCGAAATGTTGTTAAATGTCGGACATCACACCCAACAATGAGAGTAAGGTACGCCATTTCTTTATATCATATCCATATCAGAAAATTTGCATATTTATATGGTATTTTGAGATAACGAAAATCAATTAGTATTATTTTGACCACCGCATTTTTCATCATTTTGAATAATTTTTTCCTGATTCTGATCATAATTTTTGGTTTATCTGAAATTTATTGGTAGAAAGTTTACTCACAATGAGTGAGACTAAAGGTAGAGCAATAATAGATAGTTTAAATTCAAGTTATCTAATTCAGAGTTTGCGCAATTGCTGAGCCAAGTTCTGACCAAGTTTATCCGAAAGTGATGGAAGCGCTCTTTCGTGCCACTCTTGTCAAATTATCTAACGATGCAGGAGAAAGGTAGCATTTTAATAAATTTTTAAGTTAATTAATTTAATTAACTTAATTAATAAAATTTTTATGATAAATGAGGAATGCAACGTAATTAATGCCTTTCGTGAAGATATTTTTTTTTGTTTGAATTTTAACATTTTTTGATTTTCGACTAAAGTTGTGGAAAATGTGTTCAATTACTTTAGCTTTATTCTCAAGGCAAATTGCTGGTCGGCTAATTTTGACCCAACGTGAAGGTACATCAGCAACAAAATATCACGACCAAAGTGGTGTAGCGGTAAATATGAACGGAAAATTGCTCGTAAATCAAGCAAGACCTGAATGTTCTACCAATATTTTATTAGAGCAGTTTGGTGAAACAGCGAAAAAAACTGATTTCAAATATGAGCACGGAACTCTTTGCGCAATATTTCCTGAATTGGTTTGTTGAATTCCATTAAAAAAATTTAATAAAGAAATTGAGCAATATTTGACGTGAAAATTCAGAAATCATCAAATTTGTTATTAATAGAAAATAATCAAATATTGTTTCCAGGGTGTTACGTTGAATTCTATGATTGACAGACGTCAGCTATCCACACGTTATGCAATCCAAGTAGATGTAGCGCTGAACATTGAAAACAAATTAATCGTAAAACACGTAAGTTAAGTTTTGAATAAATATTACAAAAACTATTACAAAGCAAATACAACGAGAAATTGTATTTAAGTTTGTAGAAGCATAATTCAAGTACTGGAAAAAGTATTTAGATTTGTAAAATTTTACAGATGGTTTTATCTCATGAATTTCTTATTGCAATAACCAATGATCAAACAGAATCACTGCTAAACTTTATCTACTGGCCTCGACTTCTCGACAGTGAATACTTTGTAAATAACCTTTCACTTTACTCAACTTAACAATACGTAAAAAAAATTTTCAGTTACAAGTAGATTTTTGTCTTTTTTTGGGTTTAAAATAATTCTAAATATTCGAAGCATTTTTTAAAAATGATTTTAAAATATAGTCATAAATTGATTAAATTTGTCAGCAAGATCAACCAACTGAAATTGGGAATCATTCAATGAATGGCAGAAAACCAAATGTACCATGGGGTATTTTGAAGGAAGCCCTTCAATACTTTGTGAAGACTCAGTGCAGCTCAGCCCGTCCTTTGGATAGAGAAGAATTATTGCATGTACAATGCATGCTTTTTTATCCAAAGTTAGCAGTCAAAAAGAATTTTATTTTTATACTTTAAAAAATAACCAAAATAGAAATGACAATTATCAAAATTGTTATTTAGGTTTTATTTAATGACATTGTTTACGTTTCCATTTGCTTCTGTTGAGAGTGAATGTTAACTTTTCACACTTGGCATATGAGTTATTACAAATAAGTCATAAGGTCAAATCATAACTTCAAATTTCGTGTCAAAGTTTACATTCAACAACAGTGCGTCATTTTGACAAAAAGCATATGGTGTAAAACTTTTAAAAGAAAAATAATCTATGACTGCAAAATAAAAATAAAAATACTAATTATTTATTAAAATTGTTTAGATTGAAAAAGGCAAGTAAACAAGAATGTGAGCAGTTGGAACAGCACTTTTTTGGAAATATACGAAAAACTGATGACAGTGAAAAAAGTATTCTAATCAGATTAAAGCACCGATTATTAACGGAAATGGTATCCGATGATGTATTAGTTACAAAACATGAGCTTATGCTAGTAAGTTCCTTTTTTCAGAAGTCATTCTGAGAAAAAAAATAATGATTTAAATGTGATAATTCATATCCATTACTAATGATAAAAAATTAGGCTAAAGAAGTTATAATTTATGTTAATTATTATCAGTTCTGTATTCATAACAGAAAGATTTCATAGAATAAATGCATTAGTCTTGCGGATGGTACCACTGAACTGCGACATAACCTTTGGCAGTGGTTATATCGAGCAACTGAAATTATCATCGATGTTGGCCATAAATTTTGTCCTGCGATGTCAAATGCTGATAAAAAATGTGATATTTTGATTTTCCCTCAAATTTTAAAGAGAATTAAACAATATTTAATCAAATTTTAAAATTTAATTATTTTTATAATATAAAATGTATGGTTTACTATACTGTAAACAACTATTTTCGAACACATTTTGGATTTAATGACTATCTTTATTATAGCTACTTAACTTTAGTTTGTATTCATAATTTTGATTTTGATCAGTATTATCAAATTTTGTATTTGCTACATTAATTAATAATTTCTGCAGGTTATTTTTACTTTTCACTTTAGTATAAAATCTTTAAACAGCAAAACAGTTAGTTTTGTAATATTCAGCTAAGATATCCTGCTCTTTGCTAATCTTGCTAAAGAACACAAATAATAAAATTATGCTAGGAAGTTGTAATCAAAATATTTTATTAATAATATTTGAAGCTCATGCAAATACAAATTTACATTACTAAATTAAGCAGAGAATATTTTTTTAGGCGCAAAAACAAAAAGACCAAACTTTTCAATGAATGAATGCCAATCAGCGTTGAGTTTGTACAACAACAGGTAACTTTTTTATTTTTAATTATTTTAATGAAAAACTTTTTTTATTATTTTTAGATTTTAGAAAGTAACTTAATTTATAAAAGCTACAATTATATTTATTTTTCAGAGTTTTAACTTTAAGAAGCGCACAAAGCGTGATAGAAGTCTTCAAAACAATTGACGAAAACGATAAAAAATGTGACACATCAACAAAAGCTATCTTCTTGAGATTTTGCGATGAAAACGTGGGACACGTCTCTTTCGCGTTCTCAAATATTCAGTAAGCATTTTCTATCAATCAGTTGTTCAATCCTGTCTTCATTAACACAGTCTTAAAATTATACAGACATTTATAACTGTATTATTTTATTTACTTTAATTTATTTAAGCATTACCATGTAAAAATGCTTACTGAATAATTCTTCTTTTTATGATACTAAAAGAGGGGGTAGGCCCTTGTTGTTTCAGCATTTGTTTTGATTTTTTGGTCATCCAGAAGTTTATATTATTATTTTGCCGGCTTTTGGTATTATGTAAAATCCGTAATGAAAACATTTAAAGCATATCACAGAATTTTTTTTTTCAAATTAAAAAATTCGGACTGCTTTTCAAAGTTTAATATTTTCATAAATTTCATTTTATACTTGTTTTCTAAACCAAAGTAGTGCTCAAAAGTACAGTATAGTAAATGTGACTGTGTTATGTAGAAATAACGATGGCAAGCCTTTGATGGGTTCGCTGTCGTGTGAACAAATTAAAGACTTCAAGCAAGGAATTGCTGAAGTGCTTATGGATGAAACTTTCCCAAAACATTACGATCGTATTGTTCAATTTCAAATTGACCAGTATAGCGGGGACAATAGCAACGAAAAATTGATAATCGCCACACCATTGCAAGTTTCTTTATGCAAAATCCTTCTATAATTTGCAGATATCCGAAAAGACTTATGTATACTGTATCTACAAGTTGCTTTCAGTCCTTTTCTTGAATTATTATTATTATTACTATTATTGATATAGTCATTAATAATATTATTATTTTGAAGCAAAACATCAATTTTCCAAGAATACAACACAATGCGTTTGCAAAATAATTGCATTGAAACGAATGATAAAGAAACAGTTCGAGTTAATCCTTTGACTGGCGAAAAGTTGACTTATTCGTGTAATCACTTCAATTCTATCAGTACAAATCGTGAACAAAACTCTGAACTTTCAAGTTTTGTACACTGTAAGTTGTTAATATCAATTGGTTATACAATATTTGATCTATATTTTATATTTCAAAGATTTACAATAATTTTCAAGTTTTTACTTATTATGATATCTGTTAACGAACTCAGAGTTTTTAATCTTTGTATGATGCAAAAATTTAAATTCAAAAATATTCTTGAAATTTTTTGAAATTATTTTTAATCAATCATTTTTTTAATTATATTCTTGTAAAGAAGTGAGTAAAATATATGTATTTATAGGTGTTTGCAGTCTTTTTTTACGTTTTTTAGTCAATATACATGTACGATTACGCTGATATCTACCATATTTTAGCATATGTACAAATGTTACTACACGCTTCTTCGGTATGTGAGGCATTTAGCGGTATTTCAATGACAGATTTAAACATAAACAATGTAAATAGCCAAAGGGAAATATCAGAACTAATTCTAGAAGGTTACAATAATGTTGAAAATGGTCGACAAGCTACGACTAACAGGTGAGAGTAATGCTCACTCAGCCAAATTCAAATTGGCTACATTGTCATACTCTATATTTTGAAAACAATTTCATTTTGTAAAAAGTCGCATCAACGTAAAACAATACTTAAACAAGCGTAACAAGCATAATCATGTACTTGTCATAAATTGTTTTAGACGGAAAAGAAGCACATTATTTTTGGAATCAAAAGGAAATATGAAAAGTGACAAGAGTGAAAACGATTTTTCGATGAGTATTTTAAGAGGAGGTCAAAGTGAAATGCAAAGGCTTGAGGACAATGAGTTAGAAGCTCTGGATTTAACTAAGAAACGTGTGAAGCAAAGTAATAACTGACGTTATCATATCGAAGTTATGACAGGTTCACGCGAATACAATGTTTCTGAATCACAATTAGTACTAATTGTCTACTCTGATTTCTGATTACTTTTAAGACGGGTTTTGTGTTTTCTAGTCATCATATCTTTCATGTACAATTTTTTGTTCAAAAGTAGTTTCATTTTTCTATCTTCAACACAATTAAGGTAGTTTTTGAACCAAAAATTAATTTCAAATTATTATCAGCTCTATCACATCTAATTGAATTCAAGTGAAACTTCATGAGTGCTTGGCAGTGCCTGTGAAGAAGATTGCATTTTGTCTTGAAACTTCATTCAATTTTATTTGAATAAAATCTTTTTCAAAAGTTTCAACTATTTAAAAATTTCAAAAAAAGGCACAAAAATCAAATTTCTCGCGATTCATACAGATCAAGCTAATGATGATGATATTTTTGAAAACAAGAAAAAAATCTGTGTCGAAATTATCTTATTAGCAAACAGAATAATCTATAGTTTGTTCATAATTGTAACATAAAATGCATGCGAAATATTTTGAATATATCTTTTGAGACCAAAAAAGCAGTAAAGTGATCAATTATACTTCAATGTTTACTAGACCAACCTGAATTCTAATCACTCAATTCAAAATGGTCAGATCACTTAAACGACTACTCCTAGGGTAGAAAATATCTCATAGTTAATTCCCTCAAGACTACTTACTTTTCTTTATAGTCAACAACTACATGAAGAAAAATTACGCAGACATTTTCGAATAAAGTGATTGTAATGACGACGAAAACCTTATGTTCAGAACTTGCAGTCTTGTTTCGTTGCATTTGGTGCTCAACTTTGTGCAAAAGTAGGACTATTCCCATGCCGGGAATCGAACCCGGGCCGCGTGGGTGAAAGCCACGAATCCTAACCACTAGACCACATGGGATCCCGGGAACCTCGTTTTTAATTCTATATATATAAAGAGATGCTTTTTACATGAATTTAATTAAACTGTATTCTGACTAATGTCAACTCAAAAATCGCGACGTCCAGTGGTAGAAAACAAGAAATTACGGCTTTCACTTTTACAAAAAACTCTAAATAAAACCATATTGGCAATAAATACTGCAGCGTCATTTCATATTTTAGCTTTGTAGTCACGTTGTTCACAACCGTAACTATTACTGAAGCTTGTTCTCCTAAAATGTTTATTTTTTTGAACTCTCAAAGATTTTGAGGTCATGTACAAAGAAAAAAGCTCAGATAGAAAGATTGCTTGTGGTAAATTTACAATTTAGCTAAATTCTTTGTGTCTAAGTATGAAAATGCCATATGAAAAGCAGTTTGCGCATGGGTTGATTAGAAACAGTTTATGCACTCAAAAAAAGAAGGGTTGAGATGCGTGATAAGTTGATAGGTGTGTTACGTATTTACGTGTGTGCAGATTAGATAATCTAAGCATGGCTTGAGAGATAGCTATAGCAAGCAGAAATGGCGCGTTTGCGAGACGGAAAGAAAAATTAATCACATTTTTCACTCTTTCCAAATTGTACAATTCAAATCCGTTGGTGATTAGTTAAGTCGAGAAATCGTTTCATTCTGTGCTCATACGAATTCATACTGTTCAATAACGACGACTATTTATTTATATGGCTAAATAAATGTTTCTTATTCTTCTGTTTAGTCTCTCTCTCCTAAATCGACCGAGTAAATCTTTCGCCTTTTACTGAAGATTTCTGTGCAATAGTGTTGGATTTGCATCTAATACTTGTAGTGTTCTCTAAAGTAAATTGAATAAGATCTCATCGTAAATATATTATTTAGAAATAGAAACCGTAGTGGGGTTGAGGCCTAATGAAACGAATATATGTTGAATTCACATTTGTCAGTCGTCTGCAAAGAACACGCCTGCTTTAATTTTTCTATTAAGTAGAAAAGTGAAACTGACCCAGATAAGAACATGAAGCAGCAAAGTTAAACGAGATTTTTGAAAACAGGCAGATTTGGGGAATCATAATGGATGCCACCAAAATTGTGTTTAATGGACTTTTTCAATACTTTACATGATTTGTGCATCGGTTTTAACTGCTATTAATGATATCATGAATCTTTTATAAGTAGTGTGTTAAAAGTCGGAGATTTGTCAAAGAAGCTCTTGCCTGTAATTGTCGTACATTATCAAAATATTCTGTAGCTCAGATTTCTCTATATTTTATTCAAATAATTAAACAAAACTTTCGTGCTTGAAAACACGTTTCATGTTTTATAAATTTATTTAAAGTGGTTTCTGAGTTTGTGTACGCACTTGAAGTGAACGTAGTCATCGCCTTCATCACTTAATCATTAATTTTCTCCATGTTGAAACGTGTACATAAGTTTTGAAGGGAGCTGAATATAATTTATCTTTACCTGAACTATTACGCTATTTCATATTGCGTAAACATTTAAATCTACTTGAACTTTTTCAATTAAACATTGAGGATTGATCACTTTTTAGATCTGCCA